TTTTTTGCCCTTTAACCCTGAAAATGTTTTGCAGACATTAAACGTCTGACGTTTGGTCACTTTGGAACGCTCAAAAAAGCCAAGATCAACTACAAACCAAAGAAAGAAGACACTCCTAAAATACATCGGCTACATTTTGAGTTGATATGAATGTTTTTAGCTTTCTAAGCTGCTAAACTACTAACATGTGCCACTGAGCTCCAACACTTTAATAACAACTTTTTTCAGCTAGAAGACATTTCATGGCTTAAATCTGACTAAAAGCACGAAGCAGCCTCCTGCTCTGCGTGTACATTTCAACGTAAAGATGACACATTTTTAAAAATGTGAATACAAAAACCTCTTTTAAGGAGTGATTTTTGTTTTAAAAGGAGAAATGTTTGCTCTAAAATGTTTTCTGGAGCTCAGATTATTTTGTGCACCTCACATGCAAACATAAAGTGAAATAAAAGTCAGAATCTAACGTTTCTGCTGAGTCCCGTCCGACCTTTTCGCCTTCTCCTCCTTCAGGTTCTCCAGACGCGTTTCCTCACTCGTTTCTCGACGTGATGTCCTGAAACCGAATCAGTGGCAGCTGTTAAAACTCGTTTGTCTCCTCTGCAGCTCAAATGTGAGAAACCAAGTTTCTGATTTCAGACTCACCTCCGTCTTCGCCCTCCTCCACTCGCCCAGCGGGCCCGACTTTGTCAGGACTGAAAGAAACGAGAGCAGTGACGTGTTAAAATCACAAAAACAAAATCAGATTCGTGCTCTGCTGGCAGATTAAAAGCAGTCAGGAGCTGCAGAGCAAAACTGCACCAGATTTACTTTTATTAGTTCATATTATAATCAACAGGATTCATTGGGTTTATTACAGGACAATGGTGTTTTTAAGACCCCAAAAGTAATAAATGTAACCCAAACAACACTGTAATGATTTACCATAAGCTGGTTTTTATAACCGCTAGTATTAATATCGCTAACAAACTGCATTCATCTCTCTGGATTTTAAACAAGTTGCAGTCGTTTCGGCTTTTTTTGGAAGACAAACTGATCATTTTATGTAATAAAAAAATAATACAGTTGTAGAGAAATGTAGTCGTCTGTCCTTTGCTTCAGTCTGTGGTTTTGATTTTAAACACTTAAAGCTGGTATTTGGGAAACGAACGAAGGTCTGAAGCTGAAATTATCAGCTTGTCATAAACAAGTTAAATGTGAATATTTGAAGACTTTAAGAGTCTTTATAACCAGTTTAAGTTAAAAGGCCAAACTGGGCCAAACTGGTATCACTCGTGCTCCAACAGCAGTGGTTGAAACAAATAGTGAGCTGCAGGTGACTGCAGTTTTAAAGCAGCATTTAAAAAACAACTTTCTCATTAATTACAAAAAACAGCCCAAGCAGGGAGCTGGAAGTACAGTGGAAACATCCAAGTAAAGTAATGACTCTCCCTGCCAGCAGGGGGAGACAAACGTCTTATTTCTGTTTAAAGGCAGCCTGTAGTGATGAAGAGCGGCTCCATTCACACCAGTGTGATTGTAAAACAGGGATTTGCACTGAGGGCCAAATAAACTTCTGCAAACTGAATAATTCACGGGTCACAGCTGGACCTCTGACTGAGTTTCTGTTACCTGAAGACAAAAGATCTTTAATCACTGAACAGAAATGTCTTTGATACTCACGCATACATGTTGTGATCATCATGAAGACGGTCGACGTGACAGTCGCGCTCCACCACAGACACCTGCAAAACAACGGTCTTTGAACACATCGGCACTTCCACACAGAACGATCACGCCGTTTCTGTAGACGGGACAAAACATGGAGGCAGCTTCAGGTCTGAAACATGAAGCCCGTGTTGAGGCGTCTTAGAGCGTATTCTTTATAAAGGCCACCAGGGGGCGACACTTACTTAGAAAACTGGGAAAGCATCTCTGTGACGATGTTATAGGCTCAGTCACTAGTTTAAAAAGATGCATCTTATTTTGACACTTTTATTTTCAGAGTGAGTAAGGACGTAAAATGGGACGTTCTCATTGGTTGATGAGTGTGCAGTTTCTCAGTGAGACCCGCCCCTCACTCAGAAATAAGAGAAACAAACACGTTTTTAACTTTCATACACTTTTTAGAGCCCTTAATAAATAAATTGTGTTTCTGCCTCTATGATGCATTTAGCTGCTGCAGCTTTCTAAACTAAACTGAGCGGACAGATGAGGCATTTTCAGATCCTCGATCGGCTTCAGGAAGATTTTCTGGGAGACTTAAAGAGATTTTCTTGGTTCATGCTGATCAAACAATCAAAGTGCTCTGAAAAAACTAAATTAGGAACTGAGGTCTCACCCCGAGTACAGAGCTGTGAAGATGAAGACGGTGAAGACGAGAAGGAGGAGGGCCTTCATCGTGAACCCTGAAACAGAAAGAAGAATAACTCGGGTGAGGCGAACAGAGGTCGTGGAGATCGTGGGTGTCAGTTTTGTGTCTTTGGTGGTTTCTGCAGATAAAAATCATCAAATGTTTTTCATTCAGCATTAAAGTCGAGTGAGATGAATGAAAACGTAGAGATTCAGACTGGATCTGAGCAGGCTGCTACGAGTCTCTGCAGGCCTCTGACGTCAGAGACCCTGCGGCTCACCTGTGGGCTCAGGTGACGCCTGACAGCAGCAGGTGTTGGTGTAGAAAGGTGAAGGAGGCGGGACTTCGGAGAGGCTGCCCAGCGACTGGGTGAAACGCTCCTTTGACTGACAGATCTCAGAGCAAATCTCCTCGTGGATCAGGAGATTTGGAGGCGGGGCTTCTTTGTCAGGAGGAGTCATGACCTCAGTGGAGTCTGAAAGAAAAAAAAAATCATTGTTCATCGTTGTCCATGTTAATTTGAGCGTACTCGCCCTTTAAGGAGTCGGTTACCCACCGTACATGAAGGCGTGGCTCTCCTCCAGCTCAGTGCTGTTGAGCGGTGACCAGGACTCATCCAGACAGGCCGGACCATCAAGGCTGCTCCTGGACCAGTCCAGGTCATGGTCCTGGTCAACTTCCTGCTTCTGGTTCCAGTTGTTCACTGTCCCAAAAACACCTCTGAAGACTTTCTCATCGAGCCACGACTGGCAGCTCTCCGTGACATCACTCAGCAGGCGAACCAGCGAGCTGCGAGGTCGCCGCCTGCGCCGGAAAACCCTGAAGGAAAAATGAGTGTTCAGACACGTGTGTGGGTTTGAGGTCCTTTGGCATGTTGCGAGTTATTTTGAACTTTGTTTTTTGTCATTTTGAGGAATTTGTGTCTCTTTGCACAGAAAAGATGAACAAAATGACATAAAAAAAAACATCAAAGTGAAACAAAGAAATCCACAAAGAGCTAAAGAACGAGAGCCCCAACAAAAAACCTCAAACCCAACAAAGTGGGTTAAAGTGCAGAAAGTGACCAAAAGCAACTCGAGTGTGAAAACACTTCCTCAGAGAATGACCACAGCCTGACAAAAATAACCACAATCTGATTTGAAACAACAGGAAGTGACCAAATCTGAGCGCAGCGGCCCGCTCTGTCTGACTGCACACCAAGAAATAAACGTCAGGAACAACATTTAATCGAATTTTAAAGTAAAGTAAGACTTTTAGTTGTTATTAAAAGATGAACTCTGCAAACACATCAAGGCTTCACCTGTGAACACAGAGTTCATGTAACAGAACAAAGACGCTTTCCTCATGTTGATGGCAAAGTGTTCAATAACATGGGGTCTCCTAGCAACAGTGATCAATGACATCACACACCCTGGTCCCCGAGAGCAGCTGATGTCAGGTCTGAAGTATTTACAGCTTTCAAACCTACCCGACATGTGCCAAACGGCTCACTCTGATTGGCTGTTGGAGGTGACCTCACCGCTTTAAAGAGGTGCGTGTGTGTTTAACAGCTGTCATACAGTTGTACGACCACGAGACGTTATGTTCCTGTTGCTGATGTAAAATAATCCTGAGTGTGGACCGAAGGGAGGAAAATGTTATGGAACGAAGGTTTTTCCAAACTTTGTTAAGCGTTTGGTGAATGTCACAAAGCGTTTGGCGTTCGGTTCTCTCAGCTCTGTAATTGCAGCTGATGTCATCGATCATTTTCTCCAAAAAAAACATTTAAAAGACTTTTTCTCAGTCTTTGGTAAAAAAAAAAAAGCAATATTAAACTTCTTGTGATGCTGTAAAGTGCAGTAAACGCAGGCTGTTGGCTGCATTTCTTGGTATAAACTCTCCTTTGGTTAATAAAATCAAACTAACTCTGAGGCAGAGTTTGAGCTAAACACAGTCCAGACTTTTACAATCCCAAAAAACTGTTGTGACTGTTCATCCATGTGTTTCAATGAAGTTTAACATCCAGGTGTTCACGAAAAAGAAGATTTACGAGTTCAGCCAAGTTCGAGATAGCAGGAAGTTAGCTTGCTAGTTTGCATGTAAAGGCACAGCTCTGATTTCACTTTGGAGGTAAATAAAAACAGAAAACCAAACAACAATGATGTTTGTAGCGTCTGTAAAGTTAGACGAATTGATCCACCATTTTGGCCGTGTGCCAGTTGTGGTAGCAGAGTCGGATCAGTGAATAAAACCTGGTCACACAGGCAGAGAGAGACTGGTCTGCAACCGTTTGGCAACCACGATTCATAAAGAAAAAATCCCCAACCGGTTGTGAGTGGTTGCTGGAGGTTAATTACAGTGGCTGGGAAAATGACTGGTAAAGCCCCAGTAACACAGACTGGTCAGTGACCACCTGGCAACCAACTGTTGTTAGGGAAAACGTGTATTCCCCTACTGGCTTCGGTTGCTAGCATCTTGCTGCGGTTGTAGATTGAATGAAAGTGACCGACTGTAGTGTTGCATTGTCTGTAAATACTCTCCAACTACGAGCTGAGCGTTGGCAAAACTTCAAGAAGTGTGACACAAACAGGAAATTGAGATAGTTTGCTTTCAAAATAAAAGTCACAACTTTTACTTGTGCATAAACGTGGAACGAGCGAGCTCACTGAAACAACGTTTTTTCTGCTTCCAGATCTCAGGTAAAAACAGTCTAAATAAATGGGAGCCTCCTGGTCTACCTGCCGCTCTCACCTGTGCAGGTTCTCCTTGTAGGAGACACTGGTTTTGCAGGGCGTCAGTGACACGTTGCCCTCGTCGTCCCAGGAGAAGCTGTCCTCGGTCACGTCATAGTATCCGTTGGTGAGGAGGCGTGGCGAGCGGCGGCAGCAGCAGGGCTCGCTGCCGTGCGCTGAGGTGTAGCAGATGTAGGAGGAGTCGGGAGAGAGCAGAGACACGTCGAGGCTGCAGGAGAGAGACCAGCAAAGGCTTTTCAAACTCCTGCTGAGACTTCACACGTTCATCAGAAACAGGAAATAAACGATGCTTTTACCTCTGACAGTGACTGTTCCTCAACCTTCGCTTGACTGGAGAACCTGAGCGGCAGAAAAGACCATCAGAGATACACACACACACACACACACACACACACACACACACACACACACACACAGTGGTTTCTAAATACAGACGACTTTTATCAGCATGAAGAGGCACAGAGCATTCTTGGGTAAATCTGCTCAGAGGACTCGATGAAGATAAAAGCTGAGCAGGAATGTGACAGACGGGCAGCAAAGTGCCGCACAGAGCTCGTCTGAGGAGCTAACATCAGATCTGTGGAGCCGCTAAAAGCTTTAGTTTGGTTTCTGATCGTTTTTCACATCCATAACAGTTTGAACAGTTCGAATAGGCAAAAAGAAAATTTGCTACAATGTCGTAATAAAGTCCCAGAATAAAAGTAAAGTGTTGGTGAACGTGGTCGGTGATGTCGGTGACGTACTTGTGACAGCGCCGGAGAAGAACAGAGCCATGTTTGTCTGCAGAGCGACGTCCGAGGATCTGTGAAGCGCATGAGAAACCAAACAGCTGTCGGTGAGAAACAGGCAGATGTTGTTCTAACAAATCTTTTCAATGAAAGGCCAAAACCAGCAGAGAGAGCGCCTCTCCAACCCTCCTGACCTCAGACACGACCGGTCTCGCACTGAACGCCGTCAGCTGACAGCTGCTCTTTCAGCGAGACACTCTTATTATTTTTATTGTGATTTAGTGAATTTATTCTGGTTTCTACTCTAAGGAGACACTTTGTGTTATTTAAGCTTTTTACATCACGTTTTATTGGATCTTATTAAAATCTATACTTATTTTAACATTTATCAGATTTTTTACTTTCTTTTTAAACTTCATATTATTACATTAACTTTTCCCTTTTTTTGTATTTATGCAAAACATATATATACTTACTTATTTTATGATATATGTTACAATATTATTCACTATTTACTTTTTTTTACTTTTATTGATTTAAAAAATTATAGGGATTTTATTTGTATTAAAATTTGAACATAATGAGCTCATTCACTTTATTAGATTTAACAGGAAACTGTTGTGATTCAGGGCTTTATAAATAAAACTGAATTGAATTATTGCTCCTTTCTTCGTGTAATCTTTATTGAACTTCTATTTTACTGTATTTGTCTGAGCTACTCTGGCTTGTGTCTATTGTTTTTACAGGAATTTCCAAACTTTTGGGATAAAAAAAGCACATTTGATCTTTCCTCTGTCTCTATTTAAAGTTCCTGTTGTTGGGGTCTATTTTCAGCGGTGGATTAATCTGCACTCGGTGGTGTAGTGAGTATTTCTAGCAGCAGGATTTTGTGCGTGTGTGAGAGTCTGAGTAAACCACAGAGTGTGTGTTCATAAAGGAAG